TAGTTTTCTTTCCATAAAATTGACCTGCAACTCTTTTTTAAGCTTCTCACCTCTTTATTAAGGATACTTTGATTTACTCCCATTTTCTGCTGATGCAAAGGTGTCTAATTGAACTTTGTGCTATTAATCTAGATTATTTTGAGTCCTCTTTTAAGGAGCATATTCATAATTACACAGAAAGGCTGAAAACTTTATTCATTTTTATTGAGAATGAAGTCTTTCTTTTCTTTAAATGTAAAATTGAAACAGGAAAATTGATTCTTTCCCCTGTTCTTACAGAGGAAATACTGAATTAATCTATTTGCTTCACATGTTGGACTTCATGGAATTGAAATGATTTACTAGCCAAAGCTGTTTACTCGTCATTGTTTTTAACTCATTAATACCTGCAGGGTCTTAGAAATTCCTGTAATAATCTTTAACCCTAATTAAAGCTATGCTAAACTTTCTGTAAAGTGGGTTAAAAATCTGTAGGCATGTTTCTTTCTTGTATGATCACCATTAAGTTAACCTTTCTAAGTAAATTAAAAGGAAAAAGTTCTGATTCAACAAGGTTCATGCTATTTTGTGCAGGGTGCTCTACCTGTCCACGCAATGTATCTCTAACTTTTCTCATCTCTAACTTTTCTCATTCTTTTCCTGCTCTGTATGAATCTCTCACCATTAAAATTGAGATTCCCTGGTGTGGCGTACTTCTGCCAATAATTCATGAGTGATCTGCGCCCCTTGCCGGCCTTTAGCATTTTTATTTAATCTTGCCGTGCCCCACCACGTGCTCGCTCATCAATAATGCACGGAGACATGTGTGTTAACACATCCGCGATGCGTGAGAGAAAAGAGCAAAGGGAGAGAGTTATACGGCTGTGCAGCAGATAGAAGCACATGATGATAAAGAGATTGTGTATTCGTAGCGTTGTGTAGCTGTACCATGTGACGGGACGTACATTTTGTCTGTAACCGGCACATGCTTTTCATCTTTAAACCCTCCTCTGCTGGGATGATATAAACACGGATGACCCGTGGTTCATTTGTGGCCGTTTGACATGAATTAAACTCAAATGACTTCAGTACAACTCCGAGCCACACTCCCATTAAGAGCTCTTCTCCCACTGAAGTGGAATTGGGTTTGCGCACAGACAGTTACACTTGCAGAGCGGATATAACCGAACACATGTCCGTGTGTTTTTGAGTGTTTGTGAGTGTGAATTTGATCAGGTCTACGTGTGAACAAGTGTGATTTTCCAATAGCCACTGACAAACAGAATCACATCTAGGGAAATTGACTTCCCTAAATCAGTGGGTCAGGAGGTAACATCACTAAGGGTTGCTATGGAGACACCCAATGACGGGGCTTCCCATCCAGCACAACAACACGCCTGTGAAATGGCAGTTTCCCTAACATAACCTACCTCAGTCTCCTCTCCTCAGCTCTCTGTCTTTTTTTTTAATTTTTTCCCCACCTCTCTTCCTCCACTTCTAATCATTTGCTTCCTGCTATTATCTCAGTCTCCTCTTTTTCTTTGTATTTCTTTAATTCTCAATCATCCTTTCATGCCACTACTTGCGGCTCACTTGCTGAAACAACCAAACCATGCATGGAAATCTGCCTGTGGACAAATACCCACACACATACACACACACTTGTATACAGCGAGATGTGAGGGGGCAGCAAGATCCCAGCGTGCAGGGTTTAACAGCTAATACCCCTTAGATTAACCACCCCCGGTTCCTCTCTCTCACACACTCGCTCAGATGCACACGACATCTTCCGCAAACCAAGATTAGCCACCTACGATTTGCACAGTGTGTGTGGTTTTCTCCCTCTCTCTCTCTCACACACTCACACAAGCCTTCAGGGTTTGTTGCCATACCCCTACAAATAAACAAAACAAATGAGAGCACACACACTCAGGCTTAAGTGACCAAGCTCCAGTTCATGTGACTGTCCGTCTGTCTGAGTCTCTCTATTGCAGACATACCCACGGACACTATCACAGCTGTAAGAAGTGATCCCCTTTGGATTTCAGAGGTGGGGGGTCACGTGATTTGATAACCTCCACAGGATTCCCTCTGGTCAGGATGCAGAGTGTGTGTGTGTGCTGGGTTTAATACTTCATAGACTGATACATCATATCCTAATCTAACGCCTTTCTATCTCTGAGGTCTCAGATTGAACAATGGTTGGGAATAATGTTAACATCATTAGATGGCTGGTAATGAGGGTCTATCAGACCTCATCTTTTCCCCTCCTTCTTGTCCTTATCTTACCCTTTTACTCTTCATCTATTTTTCACTCTTGCCAGGCTGGTCATCACTTTCTTCCACTGCCTCCCCTCCACTCTTTCATGCACGTACCTTGCAAGGCACTTTCAAGGATTATTTTAAGGGCTGCACAGATCAAACACATTCTGCCAGGGCCGTGCCTCAGTTACCCTGGCTTCAGCCCCTTTAATTAGACATGGCTAATAACGCTAAGCATGTGCTGATAGCTATCTCTCTGATAAGACTGGCTGCACCAAGGCATAGGGCCCCTTTCTACCTTTAACACTGTTACCTAAGGTTAAAACGGATAGTTAGCAACCTTATTTTATGAGCCTAAGCAGTCACACTTGTTTGCAATTAGCTGCCAATTTTCAAAGGCAGGTTAGCAGCCAGGCTATAGACTTCATAGTTTCGATCCTTGTTAACAAGGATGACTTTAAATGCTAAAGGTCTCATGAAAAAAACTGTAGGTAATAGAGGTGTAAGATACACTGATAGTAAGAAATTACATTAAAGGAATAGTACACCCAAAACATGATTAGCCTTCATTTTCTACTCACCCCCATGCTGAACAAAACTCTGGAGTACTTTTTTGATATCTCAAATGCATCTGGAGATCTGGGAGGCTTCTTGCTGTCTGCTGACATTCAAATAATGGAGGTCTATGGCGCCCGAGACAGAAAGGTCCATAAAAGTCCACAAAAACGTGTCAATATTCCTCCATACTGCTCGTCCAATGTAATCCAAGTGTCCTGAGTGGGTAGCATCCAGAATTTACTCGAAACGAAGTCATTTAGAACGTTTTAGAGCCTAAACAGTAGTGTATAGGATTTCCTAATAGCGCCCCCATGCGCGCTCACGATTCTACGGAAGCCGGCAGACCAAACCAGCGCATTCAGCTCGGCAAAGAACTCATGCTCTTCCTCAACACTGAAGTCCTCAGACATTTTTCTTTCGTTGTTTCTTTCTTTGCACAGGTAAACAGCACATTTCTTCTTCTACGCTTGCATTATCGGCAGAGCAGACGCTGAATGCGCACGTTCTTCCGGTTTGGTCTGCCGGCTTCCGTAGAATCGTGAGCGCGCATGGGGGCGCTATTACGAAATCCTATACACTACTGTTTAGGCTCTAAAACGTTCTAAATGACTTCGTTTCGAGTAAATTCTGGATGCTACCCACTCAGGACACTTGGATTACATTGGACGAGCAGTATGGAGGAATATTGACACGTTTTTTTTGTGGACTTTTATGGACCTTTCTGTCTCGGGCGCCATAGACCTCCATTATTTGAATATCAGCAGACAGCAAGAAGCCTCCCAGATCTCCAGATATCAAAAAAGTACTCCAGAGTTTTGTTCAGCATGGGGGTGAGTAGAAAATGAAGGCTAATCATGTTTTGGGTGTACTATTCCTTTAAGTTGTGCCATCTTGTTGCAATGTTCTCTAAAGGGGAGCGCTTTTTGTTTCTACGTCCAACATCATTATTTCAGACAAAAAAAAAAAAAATGTTTTACTGTAGATGCCCAGTGAACCAAGTAAACTAATGAAGACTGCTAATCATTGAAGTTAGCACTACCAGTTTCAACAGAGATGGGTAGAGCACCCAAAAAGCTTGCTCTAAGGCTTGCACTACAGATTTGTATCCGACTAAAAGTCAAAAATAGTTGCTCAAGAAAGTATTCAAATAACAGCAAAAAGGTAATTGCAAAATTACTTCTCAGGTACTGAGTATTTGCTCAAATAAATACTCTTAAGATCATGGTAAAATACAACTAATCTAAATTTAAAAAAAAAATACTCGCGTAAATGTTGTTATTATACACCTTTGAGCATATATAGCCAGTACAAAAGTATAAAAAGCTAACAGACTTGTTTCAAACAATTAATACACACTATGTTTATATACGGAAGGCAGACAGGAAGTTAGCATCAGGTAGTACATTTATATCATCGTTATAGCCAAATAATATTTAATTCTAAACACATAAAATAAAGTGCACTGCATGCACATTAGAGTTATGTAGACATAATGTTGTATTTTTTCAATAAATATATAGATTTCTAGAACTGAACTGAGATTATTCTAACATGTTTAGGTTATTTGGGCTTTGCGAAACCCTTATATTGTAAAAAAAAAAAAAAAAAAAAAGGAAATTCAAAAGCTTAAGAAAATCTTGTCTTGTTTAATGACCCCTTCGTTTAGGTTGTTTTTGATGAGCTGAACATATCGTTAAGAACTACTTATATCTCATAACAGAACAATAATAAATGAGAAGTGTATTTCCTCATTCTGGCTAAGTACTGTCATTGACTGAGGCAATTAAACCCAAGGATGAAAACGAATGTTAATTACAGGAATGTTAAAACAGAATCTGTGAACCCCGAATGAATTGGCCAAACCTCTATAATTACCCTTTAAGCCACCACTTTTCAAGTGATCATCCTCATCTAACTTGCACATGCTGAATGGTGTTATTGGATTTTTTTTTTTTTTAAAGATAGTTAATTTACATGGATGGTCATGTTGGGGTTGAGTTAAGCAGTTGGTTTGGAAAAAACACTCCAGGCCATTTCTCCTTAGACGGATTGATCTAGGTGAGGAGAATTCAGTAAGAGAAAGAAGAAAATAGGGGAGGAGGGGAGGCATTAATTCCAATCATTAAGAACTAGGATAGCCCGGGGGCGACCCCCCCCCCTCCTAAAAACATCGACTGAATGTAAACTCTGAGATGTCTTACCAGTTGTTCACTTGTAGGATAGTAAGGCCTGTGTCCTGCGCCAGCTGTTTCTTCTGTTCTTCTGAGGGGTAGGGATGCTGCAGGAAGGGAAAGAAATATGTTAAAAAAAAACTGAACACAAATTGCTTAATGAAGCTCCTTGTTTTGTGGAGAAAGAGTTTGATGTGCTTTTTAACAGCAGTCAGCCAAAATAAGGTAGAAATAAGTTGTGTGATCTCAGTCTCATTTAATGCATACGTGCCAGTACGCCTGTGTGCGTATCTAGATGTATACTGTAAGTCTGTGTGAGCATGAGCACATTAATAAGCTCCCCACACACAATTCATTAATGAAATATGAAATCATGTAATTAATGGCAGCCAAAAAGGCAAGCCAATTAGAAAGTTAAGTGAAGTGGAGAACCAGCTCTGGTAATTAGGCAGCCTCTTACACAAATATATTGGCATCAAGCCCCCCCCCCTACCCTTCACCCTGCTGCATATGTAATCAGTGAGTGGGGAATGTGTAGCCTTAACCCAGTGGATCACAGACAAGTGAAGATTGTTAACACTCATATAGTCACTCATATAGTCTTTTTTTCTTGCTAATAAAGCTCATAACGTTGTTAAGTTTGCTCTTTTTGTTGTTGCTTTGTTTGTTACGTTCTCGCTATGAAATATCAAGTACAGGTGCTGGTCATAAAATTAGAATATCATGAAAAAGTAGATTGATTTCAGTAATTCCATTTAAAAAGTGAAACTTGTATATTATATTCATACATTACATACAAACTCATATATTTCAGATGTTTATTTTGTTTAATTTTGATGATTACAAATGACAACAAATGAAAATCTCAAATTCATCATATCAGAAAATTAGAATATTGTGAAAAGGTTCAAAATTGATGGCCCCTGGTGCCACACTCTAATCAGCTAATTAACTCAAACCACCTGCAAAAGCCTTTAAATGGTCTTTCAGTCTAGTTCTATAGGCTACACAATCATGGGGAGACTGCTGACTTGACAGTTGTCCAAAAGACGACCATCGACACCTTGCACAAGGAGGGCAAGACACAAAAGGTCATCGCTAAAGAGGCTGGCTGTTCACAGAGCTCAGTGTCCAAGCACATTAATAGAGAGGCGAAGGGAAGGAAAAGATGTGGTCGAAAAAAGTGTACAAGCAAGAGAGATAACCGCACCCTGGAGAGGATTGTGAAACAAAACCCATTCAAAAATGTGGGGGAGATTCACAAAGAGTGGACTGCAGCTGGAGTGAGTGCTTCAAGAACCACCACACACAGACGTATGAAAGACATGGGTTTCTGCTGTCGCATTCCTTGTGTCAAGCCACTCTTGAACCACAGACAGCGTCAGAAGCGTCTTGCCTGGGCTAAAGAGAAACAGGACTGGACTGCTGGTGAGTGGTCCAAAGTCATGTTCTCTGATGAAAGTAAATTTTGCATTTCCTTTGGAAATCAAGGTCCCAGAGTCTGGAGAAAAAGAAGAGAGGCACTTCATCCACGTTGCTTGAAGTCCAGTGTAAAGTTTCCACAGTCAGTGATGGTTTGGGGTGCCATGTCATCTGCTGGTGTTGGTCCATTGTGTTTTCTGAGGTCCAGGGTCAACGCAGCCACATACCAGGAAGTTTTAGAGCACTTCATGCTTCCTACAGCTGACCAACTTTTTGGAGATGCAGATTTCATTTTCCAACAGGACTTGGCACCTGCACACAGTGCCAAAGCTACCAGTACCTGGTTGAAGGACCATGGTATCCCTGTTCTTAATTGGCCAGCAAACTCTCCTGACCTTAACCCCATAGAAAATCTATGGGGTATTGTGAAGAAGAAGATGCAATACACCAGACCCAACAATTCAGAAGAGCTAAAAGCCACTATTAGAGCAACCTGGGCTATCATAACACCTGAGCAGTGCCACAGACTGATCGACTCCATGCCACGCCGCATTGCTGCAGTAATACAGGCCAAAGGAGGCCCAACTAAATACTGAGTGCTGTACATGCTCATACTTTTCATGTTCATACTTTTCAGTTGGCCAACATTTCTATAAATCCTTTGTTTTTATTGGTCTTCAGTAATATTCTAATTTTCTGATATGATGAATTTGAGATTTTCATTAGTTGTCATTTGTAATCATCAAAATTAAACAAAATAAACATCTGAAATATATGAGTTTGTATGTAATGTATGAATATAATATACAAGTTTCACTTTTTAAATGGAATTACTGAAATCAATCTACTTTTTCATGATATTCTAATTTTATGACCAGCACCTGTACATCATCCCTACCTTTTGTTCTCCAGCTTAAGATAGGAGGAGGGAATTCCCAAGAAATGTGCAACACCTTCTCATTGAGTCAATTAGTCCAAAAGTGTGGGCTTTAAAGGATTGGTTAATTTTTATTTCTTTTGAACAGCTTCTGGAAAATGTCATTTTGGTACCAAAGCTGCGCAATAAATGTTTCACAAAAATCAGCCTTTCATATCGGCTTTATCAATAATTATTGACTTGTGTTTTGGTTAACAGTATGAAATAAAAACTAAGGGGAAAAAATAGAATTTAAATTCTAACCCTTACCCTATTTGACCTTTAATCTTAAAATATATCTCAGCCCTTTTACTGGCATTGCATAGTTTAATGTTAAGTTAAAAAGGCAAAATCTTTTCCCTAACATGCAGTGTGTTTCTGGATCCTACTTCTGTAAAACTATATCATATGTGTTTTCTATTGATCTTTTAATATTGATCATGTTAAATATACCAATATTGATGTATTACCCAGCTCTAAAAGGTAATAGTTCATCATAATATCAGTGGCACAGAAATATGGTGGACAATACTATCAGTCTAAAACTCCAATAGAGATCATTAGTATGTTTATTCCAGCATGTTGTATCTTTTCCCCGGCATGTTTTAATTTATTTAAGTTCAACCTGCTGAGTTTGCAGTAAATTTTAGGAACCTTTTGTTCTAGCTTTGACATCTGAGTTTGCATTGTCTCTGTGTGAAAAACATCCAAAATTAACTCTTTAACACCTTTAATGAAAAATATTTTACGGATGAAGAGTCTGTGATGATACCAAATGGAGTAAAATCTTGCCGTCTTAAAAGATGCAATGCCTCAAAGGTTCATCTATGAAAGCACTATAGGGTTCCTTTACACCCAGTGTCAAACCATGTTAAGATCACACATATCCACACAAAGAGATTTAACTTATGTATTAATGCTTCATACCGTTGACTTCACATACCAACTTCTTTTTTCAGAAGTCTTGCGTAAGAGCTCTGGTAAGTTAGACTCCTAATATTTGGACTTATAAAGGAAATGTGAATACATATTGTTCTGATTCTTGGAGGGTTAAACTAAGCCTGTTTTGAAGTGATTTTCCGGCTTTTAAAACTTCCCCCAGCCATAAGCCAGCTGAAAACAGCTAAAACTGAGCCACCTGTTTAAATATATAGTGGGCGGATATGCACTTAAGGAGTATGTGGATTTATGTTACAGTGTGTGGTATTATGGTTGCTTGGTCTCTTTCATGCAGCACAGTGTCCGGTTGATGAGTAAGACATGTCATGGTTTCTGCTGGAGACCATAAGCAGGCCATAAAAAGAGAAGAGGAATGACGAAGGTAAGCAAAGAGGGAACGATCTGAAAACACTCGATATTATTGTACGTACAATAATATAAGATATGTTGATTAAACAAAATGAATTAAAAGGGTTTCTTTTACTCCTATTTGCTATATGAAAACAATAAATACCAAAGGGAAAAAAAACTTCATGTATGGTTATCTATTTTCATGACATTTATTACTTTCATCCCAAAATAAGCTGAGCAACAGTGACATCGCACATGTGGTACACAGTATGCCTAACAGGCCGATACACTCATGATAGTCAATCAGACAAGAAAAATCAGTCCGGCGCCAGTCTTTTCATTTTTTTTTTATTACAGTTTTTTCAGCGCATAATGAACAGGATTGTGTTTAATGCTGAGCAGGGAGGAGAGAGCGTGAGAGGAGACTCATTTTTCTCTTTCCCCCAGCATTCCCTTATCCATGTGATTGGTTGCGGGGAATGGAAACACAAGGAGGCTAATTTCATGCGCTAAGTTATAATTGCATTGTCGCCTCTGGCCAAATTTGTGTCCACTTCACTTCATCAAACATTTTTGTACTCCTCTAGATATGTATGTGTGTGTGTGAAGACATTACTGTGTAATACGCTGGTGAAGATTCTCAGTCATCCAGGTCATAGTCATTCCAAAAAAAGAAAATGAAAACAATCCACTGGACTTAGTTTTCAAGTTTGAAGACGTTTCGCTTCCCATCCAAGAAGCTTTTTTCAATTCCAAATGACAGGAATAGCGTTGAGTTCAAGGTTTTCTACAGCAGCCCAACAAAGCCGTGTTTTGATTTTGAAAACATGCAAATTGAAACAGTTGAATGGGTCGTAAAAAAAAAAAATCCAAACGACCAAAGTCAAATTTGAAAAAAAAAAAAAACGCAAAAAAAATGCTGTGATGCATAAATTGATGCAGAGGTATATTTCTATATGCTGTAAATCTTTTTATCAGTGTATCTGTCAGTTTTCCAAAAACCTCTGAGGAAATTAATATTTACAAATAAAGGATCCACAAAATTGACCAAATACAGTAAAGGGTATTGTGAAGGGCTGCAGCCTCCTTACAAGCAGAAATCACATCATTTCCCTGCTGACATACTATCAAGTAATCATGTGAAAAAAGGACGCCTTAAAAATTCTCCCATTTTCAAGAAGGAAATCTGACCAAACATGTAAAGATCAATGAGTCCATTCTGCGTGTCATAAAACTGAAGGAAGGACTGTCTTCCTCGTGATACCGAGGGGGCTTTAGCAATGCCAAGGGCCACAGCTCAGCACAAATACATCCTTTTTTAATGGTCTTCTCTCTGCAGCTTCTAGGCATGCACACAAAAACCGATACACAAGGCTAGTCACATTCTTATCTGAATTTTAGGCAGTGAGAAAATTGTTCCTGTTGGATAAGCGTGATTTTAGGGATGCCAAAAAGCAAGCAAGCTGATGTAATTATGAA